GCACTGGTCAAGCACGTGTCGTGTGACTGACAGGCAGTCACAAATGAATTTTTTATCAAATAATGGCTGATGAAGATTTAGATAGCACTAGTCCTATAAGAAAATTTTTAGAAGACAGTATGCGCGCTTGTTCTTCAAGTGTTTTTATTCGTTTTATTTCGCAAAGTATGATAGTTTGATAACATAGACCATAGATAATTCTCAACACTAGTTGTTGAATCTTGTTGTATGAGCTGGAGGCCTGTTGTATATGTTAGATTTAGTTGAAACAGAAATCCTGCTAACGGGATATCTAGGCTACTAGTCGTAGTTATAATCGGTGCCCACATTGCACATTGACTAGGGTATTCACTAAATGATTACGTGGGTGCTGGCTGAAGGGTCTATGTCCCCGGGGGTAACTGCCGGAACGTACGCCTGTGTACGGTTCGTATAATCCAGGAACGTACCGGTACTTATCTAATATGCTGGATCTCGTACCTCGGCCCTACTCCCACTAATGATCTAGGAGTCGCCTACCCCTATCCTAACCGCTAAACCCTAAGCCATAATCAAATAAGTTACCAGGCGTACGGGTTTCGCAAGTAAAAACCCTGGGGGACATAGACCTCATGAGCGCTAATAGAGGTTACATCACTCTAACCACTTACCATGGAACGTCACTGGCCATGAAATTGATCTATTTCCTTATTACTGAGTGCAAAATACTGTAAGTATAGAATTGGAAAAAAGGGTAAATCCATACTACATGTCCTATCTTGGAGATTTCCCCAAAGGTGAGATTGAATGGCTCATGACCCACTCAATCTACATGTTCAAGGCCTGGAGTTCATTAAGCGGACAGAACCTTTTCTTGGCACAGAGAGGTGCAGTCTGCCTTATAGAAACAACTACACAAGAATAATTAATATGATATAATAGCTAACAAGCGAGTGGGTTTATGATATGATTCCTTTGGCCATTCCTTCAGTTGTGATTTTAGAATCTCTAAACCGAGACGTGAAATCATGTAGCGATGTGAAAACCTAATATTCAACAGGCACGAGGCAAAATCCTTCTAACTAATGAAAATTGTCCAGGTAGCAAGAAACACTGCGCTCTATCTTTAATCAAGAATATAAATAAGACTTTTAATCTCCTTGTTTTTGCTCATCTTGAAAACATGTCAGATGCCAGGCTTGTATACATCGCATGACGTCCGTCCGTGACCGTACCCGTCAACAGTTTTGGACACAAATCTTAATCCGCCGACGTACGGTCACGATATTGGCACATCGGGGGGGGGGGAAATCGTCAAAACGATTGGGAATGATCGGAACGCTGGGTCAAAAGGTCAAAGGCAAGAAGGTGTAAAATAAGGGGGACATTCAGCTCCTTAAAACTTAAGGTATAGGGAGAAATGGCAGAATGCGGCAACAAGTCTAAACGGCTCGACCTAGGCTCGTGATAGTCGCAAGGTGTATAGGCATCATGGTAACGGAAAAGCCATCATGTGCGAAATTGGAGTTACAGGTCAAAGGTCAATGGGCACAGGGCATGATATTTTAAGAACATTCTGAAGGAACATGTCTGACGGAACGCCGAGTAGCGCGAATTGAGAAAAACTTTTTTGTTTCAGCGTACCTAAGCATTTTAAATGGTCTTTATGAAAGGACCATGAAATTACACTTCTGCTAGACAATGCCGAAAAAGTAAGTGTCGGATAACCTTTTGACCCTCATAAGAGGAGAGTTAACATTGATTTGTGTTACCTGTCCTGTTAGAAAAGAATTTGACTGCCGGGGTTTTGCTAAGTAGAATCTAAACATGCCTGGATGTAGTGAGACATACAAATGTCACATGTGAAATTTCAAAAGCAAATTGGTTGGAAGAAGGTTTTATGCTCTTAAATATCGATAATTTCTATTGCATCTGTACTGTCAGTTATGTTGAATGTAACGTATGCGCACGCCAGGGCCCACCTGCAGTTAGCATGTGGTGCAGTACTGTGTAGGTTTTTTTCCACTGCGTTAATTGGTTATCAGGTGGCAGCTCTCTATTGCAGCCTGTTAGGCTTGCGTAGGTAAAATGGATGAATTGCTTACCGCTATTCTGTCTGCCAAATAGTTGTTGCTAAACTATACGTAACTGATGGGAAGCTTCGCATCTTTAATCTGAAGACACTTAAACGTCAACCGGCGCCATCTCAGTGGGCAACTTTCATAACGATCCCAACCGAACATTCCTTGAGAAGGTTCCGAATACCAAATCCCTGTGCAATTCTCACTGTTTCGGCGTGTATTAACACATTTGGGACTAACAGGGTTTATCTAGAATCTCACCACTACCAGCCACAGAGTCACCGCAGTAGACCGTTAGATGAGCGCTGTCGCTCCGCGGCACTTGTTTTTTTATAGTAACGTATTGTGTGTGGCATTCAGGAAACAAATTTATTTCAGTGCGGAGGTAATTTAATTGACTGTAAGATTAAATCGTGAATTCCCTTCGAGTGAG